AAATGCATTTTACTGTCAGAAAAAGTGGAATCAAATCATGACAATGTTTTCCACTCCTGTTGGTAACTTTTCAACCCTATATTTAGGTTATGCTTGCTATATCATATATATTTATTTTGTTTTGTTTGCTATATCATATATAAATACGTTTTGTTTTCAAGATGAAAACAAAAAATGGCCTTTTTTTTTCTTATTGTAAAAGTAATACAGAGACTTCCAGTTCCAAGACAGTTCCAGTTGTACGTCTCCATATTCTTCTGCTAAGTATAGCTAAAAACCCTGGACAGTATATGTAAAGTAAATATAAGGGGACTCTGAAAGGTAGAAATAAGGCAGATTGGCTATTTACCTTAAAAGACATGCTAGCAAATTCCTTGATTTCTTTTTGCTTCATATATCCCAGACTGGGTACTGGCAATATAGGCAACCTAGAAATGCCAGGGGGTTCATATAACGCCCCCCCATCCCTATCCCGAGCCTGCTCTCTCTAGACAAAGGACCAGGAAAGGAATAGCCTAGTAAGACAGAAAACATTTAGTTAATAACCACCTGTGCAGAAAAGTTACCATGGGAGGCCTGAGCCTGCTATCCTTAGAAATTCTTGCTTGCAAGATTGGTCTTTGGCTGGCATCTGGGAACATCCTACTGTTCCTACACAAATATGAAACTTTCCCCAAATGATAAGAATGGCTCACTGAGCCTAGACTGTTCGCAAACAATGTAGCTTCTGCTGCACAGCTGCTTTCCTTCTGAGAGTCTGCAATTTCGATAGGTGCAAGACAGTGGGTATCTAATCTACATGATTGACACAGTTGTCTGTGTCCCCCTCCAAATCTCATCTTGAATTGTAATTCCCATAATTCCTACATGTCGAGGGAGGGTCCTGATAGGAGGTGATTGGATCATAGGGGTGGTTCCCCCATGCTCTTCTCGTGATAGTGAGTGAGTTCTCACGAGATCTGATGATTTTCTAAGTGTCTGAATTTCCCCTGCTTGCACATACTCTCTTGCTGCCATGTGAAGAAAGTCCTTGCTTCCCCTTCACCTTCTGCCATGATTGTTAAGTTTCCTGAGGCCAACCCAGACATATGGAACTGTGAGTCAATTACATCTCTTTCCTTTATAAACTACCCAGTCTTGGGCAGTTCTTTATAGCAGCAGCAGTGAAATGGACTAATACAATAATCAACTGTCCCCCAAACCTAGGGCACTGAGTCTCTAATAATCTTTCTTTGTAGACACAATTCATGCCTGTTGTCACAGTTCCCTGTTAACAGAATTAAGTGTGCTCTGTATAATTTCCCTGGGAGAGAATCCTTAGAATCTTGTGCCTGGTTTCCTCCAGACTTCATTCCATGAGGCTATTCCTTTTGCTCATTTTATTTGTGACTGCAACTATATGCTGAGTCCTATGAGTCCTAGTGAAACGCTGAACCTGGGAGTGTTCTTGGAGACCCCTGACACACTGCCATACTCCAACCAAATATCACAGAAAAAAGGAGTGGTCCCACCCCCACCAATCAGTAGTAGCTGAATGGGAAGCCTAGACTTTCACCCTTGATGAACTACAGGGTCTCCTAAACCCCCACCAGGCTGGTTTCAGAGAAGGCTGAGTGGAAGCCAAACTTTCACCATCTTCCAGTGGTAATGAGTCCCCCATACATCCTCCGAAGTGTCACTGGAGGCCACATGAGGATGTAACAGTGAAACAGCAGAAGCACTAACATAACTAATCAATTTTTTAAAGGGACCTTTACTCATTCCTGCATGTAGGCTAGGATAATTTTAGAACACTGAGATAATATGCAAAAACAGCAATCACGTAGTTTTAAAAACTCACTCTAGGATTAAGGAGAAGTATGTAAGCAGCTAACCATATTTTGTTAAAGATTTATAGGAACATTTGTCATGTGACAAAGACAAAGAAGTTCCCACTCACTATGGACCCTCACTGGTGCCCAGATGTCTGTGGTTATTGGTCATCTCTTGATCTTAACTCCCTCCTCATCCCCTTACCCTTAACATAAAAAGAGCCTAAAATTTGTACTGACTTAAGATGGTACTTTAGAATGATGGTCCACCATCTTTTCAGTTAGCTGGCTATCTGAATAAATCTGCTTTTCCTTCCACCAACCATCATTTTTCATGTCTGGCTTTCAAGCAGTGAGCAGCTGAACCTAGGTTCAGTTACATAGGGCAGTAATGAGGCATCCCTCTCCCTCCCAACCAGGGTGGTATCAGTGGAGGCCTAGTGGGGAGCCTGAACTCCCAACCCTGCCCAGCAGTAATGAGATGCCTTCCCCACCAACCTAGGTTGCCAAGGAGGCCTGATGGAGAGCTTTGACTTTCTCCCCAGTCAGAGAGGTTGAAGGTGGCATCTCCCTTCTCCTAACAATTCAGTGTCAGAGGAGGCCTGCTGAAACAGAACATTTAATAAGATTCAGCACCAAGATAATACAGATGTTGGAATGATGTTATCCTAGCCTACATGATAAGGGTTTTAAAGCAGTCATCATAAAATGCTTCAACGAACAACTAAGAGTATGCTCAAAATGAATAAAAAGGCTTAGCAAAGGAATAGAAGGTATAAAGAAAAAATAGATGGAGATTTTAGAACTGAAAAATACAATATCCCAAATAAATCAGTGGATGGAAGAATGGAGGGGACAGAAGAAAGAATCAATGAACCTGAAGATAGAACAAGAGAAGTTATCTAATCTGAACAATGGAGAAAAAATGGACGGAAATAAAATGAACTGAGGTTCAGGGACCTGTAGACTATACCAAAATATCTAACATTTGCGCTATCAGAGCCCTGGAAGGAGAGGAGAAAGAGGGTAGACCTCAAAAAGTATTTAAAGAACTCATGTTTGAAAATTGCCCAAATTTGACTAAAGACATAAGCTTACAGATTAAAGAAGCTGAGTGAACCCCAAACAAACACGAATAAATCCCCACCGTGACACATCATTAGTCAAACTTTTGAAAACTAAAGACAAAAAAATAAAAATATTGAAAGCAGCAAAAGGGAAATAATGGCTTATGAGTAGAGTAGAAAACAATGAGAATGACACAGGATTTCTCATCTAAAACACTGGAGGTTAGAAGAAAGAAGCACATTTTTCAAGTGCCAAAAGAAAAGATCAGCCAGCCCAGAATTCTATATCCAGTGAAAATATGCTTCAGGAATAAAGGGGAAATCAAGACATTCTCAAATGAAGGAAGACTAAGAGCTTTTGTTGCTAGCTGACCTACTGTGATGGTTAATTTTAGATGTCAATCTGACTTGATTAAGGAATACCTAGAAACCTGGTAAAGCATTATTTTTGGGTGTGTCTGTGAAGATGCTTCCAGCAAAGATTAGTGTGTGAGTCTGAGTGGACTAGCTGGGGGAGATCCAACGCAATGTGGGCAGGCACCATCCAATCTGCTAGAGTTTCAGAAAGAACAAAAACAGAGAAAAGGTGAATGTGTCATTCTATCTGCTGGAACTGTAATGTGATGTGCTTTTTCCTTCCTTGTCCTAGGAAAACAACTCCAGGCTCCCCAGGCCTTTGAATTCTAGGACTTATACCAGAGTCACCCTCCCACCCCAACCAACTGGGTTCTTAGACCTTTGTCCTTAGACTAGGAGTTACATCACTAACTTCCCTGGTTCTGCAGCCTTGGAGCTTACACTCTGCCACACTACCAGCATCCCAGAGCCTCCAGTTTGCAGATGACCTGTCAAGGGATTTCTCAGCCTCCACAATTGTGTGAGCCAATCCCTCTAATAAATCCCTTTACACTTCACTTGAACTAGTAACACGTTATCGCTAATTGATTGTTTTAAGTTATGTAAATATAGTGTAATACCTAGAGCAACCACCACAAAATTTACACAGAGATAAACTGAAAAAAATTATACAAAGAGATATACTCAAAAACACTGCAGACAAATCAAAATGGAATTCTAAAATAATATTCAAGAAATCAATAGAAAAACAAGAAAAAAATAGAAAAGCTAAAAATAGAAGCAACAAACAGAAAACAAAATATGGTTTGGAAGACTTAAGTCTCAACAGATTACGAATTACCTTATAAACAAATAGTCTACTTTATTTCTAAAAGGCAAAACTCAGAAACAACTAAAATGCCCAATAAGTGAATGGCTAGACAAATTGTCGTAAATCCACACAGGGAGTCCTACTCAGTCATAAAAATAAATGAACCATTGATACACAAAATAGTTTGACTGGGTATCAAGGGCCTTATGATGAAAGAAGAGGCTGATCTCAAAACACTTATACTATATGATTCCATTTACATAACATTCTGGAAATGACAAAATTATAGAGGTAGAAAACAGATTAGTAGCCAGTGATTAGGAGCGGCCAGAGGAATGGGAATGGATGTGAGTACAAAGAGGTAACACAAGTGCTATGTTTGTGGTGATGGAATAGTTCTTTGTGTTGATCATAGTGGTAATTACATGAATCTGCATGTGATAAAATGGCATAGAGCTATAAGTACACTCATTGCATCAATGTCAATTTTCTGGTTTTGATGTACTACAGTGATGTAAGATGTAATTCACGGGAAAAACTGAGTGAAGGGTACAAATGACTTTTCTTTTCGCAGAAGTTCATAATAATTAAAGATTATAATTATAAAGTAATGTAAGTATAATTATAAATAGATGTATATTTATAATTATAATTATCATTTATAAGTATATAATCTTTGTAATTATTTTTAAATAATTGTAGATTTTAAATAATTGTAGATTTAGATAATTGTAGATTCCCAGGAGAATCTACAATTATCTAAAAATAGAGTTAAAAAAGCCTCATAAAAGACCAGGCATGGTGGCTCATGCCTGTAATTCCCAGCACTTTGAGAGGCCAAGATGGGTGAATTGTTTGAGTTCAGGAGTTTGAGACCAGTGTGGGCAACATGGCAAAATTCTGCCCTAGAAAAACAACACACACACAAAATTAGCTGGATGTGTTGGCGCGTACCTGTAGTTTAAGCTACTTGAAATGCTGACGTGGATCACCTGAGCCTGGCACTTCAAGGTTACAGTGAGCCATGATGGTGCTGCTGCACTCCAGCCTGAGTAATGGAGCAAGATCAAAAAAAAAAATCACATAACTATACATATGTGTATGTGTGTGTACAAAGTCTAGAAAAGCAATGATAGGCTCTACAAAAAGTTAGCAGAGTTATGAATATATCTGTATTACTTGAATATTTTTTAAAAGAATGCCTTTGTGAACTTCTCATATAAAAAAAGTAATGTAAAATCATTGTAAAAAATTCAGATATACATAGAAACATAAACAAGATGAAAATCGCCTATTCTGTGATGCCACAGATAATTTCATTAATTCACCTAACAAATATTTACTGAGTACATTCTACAGAGCTGTGATCTATCATGATTTTAGTGTGCATTTCAGAACTTTCCTGTACCTCCAGAGTTATATACAAATTGTAATCATTCATTGATACATATTGTTACAAGAGTAATATGTACAGCTGGCCTTCTGGATCCACAGGTTCCAGAACTATGGATTCAATCAACCTTGGGTCGAAAGTATTAGGGAAAAAAAACAAAGATAATAAGACAACAATAAAAAATAATGGAAGTAAAAGCAATACAGTATACCAACTATTTACATAGCATTTCCATTGTATTAGATATTATAAGTAATTGAGAGATGATTTAAAGTATATGAAAGGATGTGTATAAGTTATATGCAAATACTATGCTATTTTATATGGGGGACTTGAGCATCCTCAGATTTTGTTATTTATTGGGGGTCCTAGAACCAATCCCCTACCAATACCAAAGGACAACTGTTATATAATAAGCTCTTATTACTTATTCATTATTCATTCATTTAGCATATATTTATTAAGCACCTATATTAGCCAATATCATGCTAGGTTCTGAGAATGGAAAGGTGAATAAATTGTTTCCTAACAAAATTTACTGATATGGTTTGTCTTCGTGTCCCCACCCAAATCTTATCTCAAATTACAATCCCCACGTGTTGAGGGAGGGAGTTGGTGGGAGGTGATTGGATCATGGGGGTGATTTCCACCATGCTGTTTTCATGATAGTGAGGAGCTCTCATGAGATCTGATGGTTTAAAAGTGGCAGTTTCCCCTGCGTGCGTGCTCTGTCTCTCTCCTGCTGCCATGTAAGACATGCCTTGCTTCCCCTTCACCTTCTTCCATGATTGTAAGTTTCCTGAGGCCTCCCTAGCCCTGTGGAACTGTGAGTCAATTAAACCTCTTTTATTTAGAAATTACCCAGTCTCAGGTAGCATCTTTATAGCAGTGTGAAAACTAATATGCTTATAATATAGTGGGAGAGAATATCACTAAAGAAATAATATTTCCAAGAAGTAAACAACTATAGATTATGTCAAGTTCAGACAACTGTAAACAATGTTCTGAATATTCATCGTGAAAGGAAAGGGTGATGGCTATGATGGCAAGATACCATGGCATGTTTATTATTGATGGGAATGAGCCAGTAGAAAGAGGTTAAAAATACAAGAGCAAGAGAAGGAATCCTGGATTTATAGAAAGCTTCCTTAGAATAAAAAAGCCAGAGACCAAGTGAAAGGGTTGGCTTCAAATAGAAGGGAACTGCCTCAACTGAAATAAGTAAAAGTGAGGATGACTGAAAATATAGCTTAGTTTGTAGATTTAGAGGTTTGAAGAATTGCCAAAATATGGGACAATGTTATCTGCCTAGAGCAAAGGCGTATGTTGCAAGTTCTGAGGTTTGAAGAGAATGGAGTTTTTAAGTAGTAGTTTGGGGAAAACATGCTGAATAGAGAAGGGCAATAACTGGGCATGCTTCATTTAAGAACCTGTATTCTGTCACGTGGGGCAGATTCTAAATATTTTCAGCTCTCTTATTGCAGGCAAGATAAAGGCAAATGAGTAGGTATTAGAAGAGAGACAAACTTCAAGAGGGAACTAAATTTTTAAAGAGGATTGTCTTCCAACTGGGAAGAGAGGGAAAGCTTTATGAGGGGAGTAGATCTGAGCTGGGCAAGAGAACACACTTGCTAGAGAAAGAAAATGGCCAAAGAGAGAAAAGGGGAGAAAAAAGTCTGGGGGAGACGGAAATAAAAGCAGAGTAGAGATGGATTTCTGGCCTAGGTGCAGGAATGTCCTTTTGTCTTCCAAAGCAAATGTGGTCTTAGTAATATTAACAGTTTATCATCTGATGTTGTGAAATTGTTTCTATATATTTTTTAGACTCTTAGACCTGACAATCTATGGAGGAATTCCCAGGCATCTTTAGCTGCTACAGAGATGACTGAACGAAGGACAAGTATATTATCCTCCACACATTAAAAGAGAGGCTCCAGGGAGCAACAGAAGGCAAAAGTTCTTTTTTTTTTTTGGCAAAAAAAGTTCTTTTTTTTTTTTTTTTTTTTTTTTTTTTGAAACAGAGTCTTGCTCTGTCACCCAGGATGGAGTGCAGCGGCATGATCATGGCTCACTGCAACCTCCACCTCCCAGGCACTTAGCTGCTACAGATGGCTGAATGAAGGACAAGTATATTATCCTCCACACATTAGAGAGGCTCCAAGGGAGCAACAGAAGGCAAAAGTTCTTTTTTTTTTTTTTTGAAACAGTCTTGCTCTGTCACCTAGGATGGAGTGCAGTGGCATGATCTTGGCTCACTGCAACCTCCACCTCCCAGGTTCCAGCGATTCTCATGCCTCACCCTCCCGAGTAGCTAGGGTTACAGAACATGCCACCACACCTAGCTAATTTTTGTATTTTTAGTAGAGATGGGGTTTCACCATGTTGGCCAGGCTGGTCTTGAACTCCTGACCTCTAGTGATCTGCCTGCCTTGGCCTCCCAAAGTGCTGGGATTACAGGCATGAGCCACCATGCCCGGCCAACATTTATCATTTGTATTGAGACTATTCCAACCTTTCTCCTCTATTTTGAAATATAAAATAAGTTATTGACTACTATAGTCACCCTACTGTGCTGTGGAACACTACAACTTATTCCTTCTGTCTAACCGTATTTTCGCTTTTAACTTCTCATCTCTCTCTCCCTCTGTATCCTTCCCAGCCTCTGGTAACCACAATTTTACTCTATCTCCACGGAGTCAACTTTTTTAGCTCCCACATATGAGCACCTAACTTCAAACTAAGACCCACAACCATGCAGCTATTCCCAGAAAATGATTTGAGAAAATGCTTGAAAATGTTGGTCTGGGCAATAATTTTTTTTTTTTTTTTAAATTAAGACCTTCTTCTGAAGAAAAGGGCATACTTTTCACTGAAAAAAAGTTTTGAGTTTTTTAAATGAGCAGATACTCATGCATTACTAGTGCAGCCAAAAATTATCAACAAGTAGGGAAGAATGCAAAATAGCGTGTGCCTCTTAACTAAAGAACTGTTAAGATACAAAACTTGGCTCTTTGCTGCCTTTCCCTTACTGCCAAGAGGGCAACATGAATTAGTTACATTGCTGTCGTGCTCACTGGGAGTTCGCTATATGGACCAGATGGGGACTGCTCTGCATTTCCATTCAAGTCTGACATTCTTTTGTCAGCGTTTGTGTAACCGGCTTTCCTTGCATTCAGAGGAAAGGCGATATGGAAGTATGGATGGGAAGGCTGGGACGATTCAATACAGTATGGTAACCTCGATCGCAGCTCTCTTATGAGACTTGCTTCCTGGATTCTGAGTCACTGAAGCTTGCCCCTTCTCTTTCCTGACCCTCTTCCGTTTCCCCTTAGATTGGAGATTCTCCTCAGATTCTAAGTCTGAAATTATTAGTGTTCGCAGTCCCTGGGCCCATGGAGGGGTCTCAAGTCTTCAGTTCTCAAAGATCACCTTTTAAGCTTCATTCGAAACGTGATACAGCCACACGAATCCTAGGCCTGAATCTCACGAAGACCTCAGTACACCTGGGGAAGGCAGCACACCCAGTTCCGACACTACTAGAGACGTCACACGCCGCAGCACCCACCAGCTCCCGGCCCAGAGCGAGCGCACGCGCAGAACGAGAGAGCGGTCACCCAGGGATCGGGGCTATCTGCACAGCGGTTACAGTCTCGGAAAGGCCTGGCTTCTTCGTGGCTTTGTGGAGATCCCGCACAGCGGCCATTTGATTAGCACCCGCAGAGATTCAAAGGAAGCAGCTGTTCAGTCCCCAGCACATTTCCGTTTCAAACCACCCACTTCCGGTTTTTCAGCCGGTTCCGGTCCCGCCCTTCACTTCCGGTTGCTTTCGGTCTCGCAGCGGCCGGTTTCTGCGTCCGCTGCAGCTGGTTCCACCGCGCTCCAGGTGAGGGGTTGCGGGGCACCCTGGCGCGCTCCCCATGGAGACGCTGCTGGGGCTCGGGGACGGTGGCTTTGCCGCCCGCGCGGCGTGGCTTGCACTGCGGCGGGCTGGGGATAGTGACTGTCCTAGTCCGACGCCCAGGCCCCTAGCCCCGGCCCGCTTAGTCGCGGGGGCTGCTGTCCTCCTATCCAGCCGTCTCGCCTATTTCTAGGGCTTTCTGTTTCCCAGTGGGTTTTGCGTCCCTAGACTTCATTCCTCCATCTTCTCAGGCTTGTCCATCCCTCCCCTCACCCTCCTTGTGGAAAGCATCCCGACCTTTTTGATCTGGAGTCTCCACCTGCCTCCTGGTGCTACCCTAAATCAGTCAGCACAGCCCCCGACCTGCATCACCTCGCAGTTGTTGCTGGTGTGCGGTTCTCGCCGGGAATTCTTAGTGCTTCACGGTTACCTTTGCTGGGATTGTTGAAAGTTAGCCTCCCATTAATTCCCAAAGTGTTACTTTTACTGCTATACTTTAAAATTTGTTCATTTGCCACTTTTAAGGTTTGTGGTCCCGGGCAAGTTTAATTTCTTTTCAGATTTCTCATTTGTATAATGAGGACAACAGCTATTGGTTCAGGATTGTGAAGATTAAGTGAGATAATTAAATTGTTTAGCATGTTGTTATTCCATCATGAACACTATTCGTATTGGGTTTTACAGTTTACAAAATGCTGTCACAGGTGTTACTTCATGCCTTAACACTACTCCTGTCCAGTGAATATTAGTAGCCTCATCTTGTTGAGAAGACTGAAGTCGAGAGGTAGATTGACTAGGCAAAGTCAACACAGTATGTTAGGCAGAACTCGAACGTAAACAGATATTCTTGACCCTAGGTTAACCATATAGAATTGTGTTCTTTGCTTGCTTGTTTGGGTTTGCCAACTTCACTCCTGCCCACACCCCAAATCGTTTCTCAGTTTATAAATCTGGTGGGATCTGAAATGATGCAAAATACTAAGAAAGAAGGTTAAATGTGAAAGCAAAATTGCTCTTGCGTTTATGTCACACTGCTTCATTGGTGTAAATGGTCTTAATAATGATGAAATAAGGTTCAGTAACTTTTAAACAAATCTTAAAGACATATGCATTTACAATTTTTATGGTGTTTGTTTTGCTTGGCCCTTTAAGGCATTTGCCAACTTGGAATTTCCACTTGTGGGATAGGTGCTTTATAACGTTTTTTATGCTGCTTTGTTAAGCATATAAAGCCCATACCGTCTGGTACTTTTTTTTTTAAGGCTGAAAACATTGAAGAACGTGTAGCACTGGCTCTCAAATTTGAGCATGCATCAGAGGTGAGGAGGATGGACCTTGGTAAAACACAGATTCCTAAGTCCCTTCTCTCCGCCCCAATTACATTTCTACCAAATTACCAAGTGAGGTCAATGCTGTTGGTTGGCCCAGGGACCACGCTTTGAAAGCCACTAGTCTAGAAGAGCAATGACTTTCCAGAGTCACCTGGAACTCAGATGATCTCACTCCAAACTCTGCGCTACTACTCATGACAATATATGCGATATTAGTGCTGGTTGCCTTTCTAGCTCTGGTAGGATTCCCTTTTATTCTTACCTCTTACAGAAAGTATTTCAACTGTATTTCGGTTTAACTCAAAAGGTCCACTTTTAATTGAAGGATATAACATTTGTTACAGTTCTGTGTAAAATGGAATACATTACCCTAAGCTAACACACTTGCTTTACGTTTTCAGTAGAACACGTTGTAAACATAGGAGTAAGTATACATTTTTAGTTCATATTTGTATTCATATATGAGTAAATATAAAAGTGAATGTATAGTGCTCTCTTCTACTAATTGGCCTCTTAGTAAGAGATACTGTTTTCAAATTATTTTTGGATGTTGAGATTAAAAATTTGCCCACTTTCTTGCAGTTGGTCCTAATAGTTGCATGAAGAGTGCAATCAAATGTTTCATCAAATAAGTGAAAGCATTGGAAATACCAATACATTGAGATTAGAAAATCCAGTTCTCTGGACTGTGGGAGGAATGAGTTTTATGAAAAGTAGGAAGCTTTATGCAGGAAGAGACATATGTTTGGTTATTTACATGAGTAGCAGCCACTATATAATCTTTGTGTGCTTAGATCTGTGTCCGTGGGTTTTGTATTTACTGACTGATATGGTTTGGCTGTATCCCTACCTAAATCTCAACTTGAATTGTATCTCCCAGAATTCCCACTTGTTGTGGGAGGGACCCAGTTGGAGGTAATTGAATTATGGGGGCCAATCTTTCCTGTGCTATTCTTGTGATAGTGAATAAGTCTCATGAGATCTGATGGGTTTATCGGGGGTTTCCACTTTTGCTTCTTCCTCATTCTCTCTTGCCATTGCCATGTAGAAAGTGCTTTTTACCTTCCACCATGATTCTGAGGCCTCCCTAGCCATTGTGGAACTGTAACCAGCTGGGATTACAGGCGCCCACCACCACGCCTGGCTAATTTTTTTTGTATTTTTAGTAGAGATGGGGTTTCACCATGTTGGCCAGGCTAATCTTGAACTCCTGACCTCAGGTGAGCCACCTGCCTCAGCCTCCAAAGTCCTGGGATTACAGGCGTGAGCCACTTTGGCCAGCCTCAGGTATGTCTTAGTCGGCAGGGTGAAAACAGACTAATACCGTAAATTTGTACCAGTAGAGTGGGGCATTGCTGAAAAGATACCCGAAAATGTGGAAGCAACTTGGAACTGGGTAACAGGCAGAGGTTGGAACAGTTTGGAGGGCTCAGAAGAAGACAGGAAAATGTGGAAAGTTTGGAACTTCCTAGAGACTTGTTGAATGGCTTTGCCCAAAATTCTGATAGCGACATGGACAATAAGGTCCTGGCTGAGGTGGTCTCAGATGGAGATGAGGAACTTGTTGGGAACTGGAGTAAAAGTGACTCTTGTTATGTATTAGCAAAGATACTGGTGATACTTTGCCCCACCCTAGAAATTTGTGGAACTTTGAACTTCAGAAAGATTATTTAGAGTATCTGGCAGAAGAAATTTCTAAGCAGCAAAGCACTCGAGGTGATTTGGGGACTGTTAAAGGCACTCAGTTTTATAAGGGAAGCAGAGCATAGAAGTTTGGAAAATTTGCAGCCTGACTATGCAATAGAAAAGAAGAACTCATTTTCTGGGGATAAATTCAAGCTGGCTGCAGAAATTTACATAAGTAGCAAGGAGCCTAATGTTAATTCCCAAGACCTAGGGGAAAATGTCTCCAGGCTATGTCAAAGACCTTCATGGCAGCCCCTCCCATCACAGGCCTGGATGTCTAGGAAGGAAAAAAGGTTTCGTGGGCTGGGACAAGGGTCCCCATGCTGTGTGCAGCCTAGGGACTTGGTGCCCTGTTTCCCAACCACTCCAGCCATGACTGAAAGGGGCCAATGTACAGCTTGGGCTGTGACTTCAGAGGGTGGAAGCCTCAAGCCTTGGTAGCTTCCATATGGTGTTGAGCCTGTGGGTACACAGAAGTCAAAGAATTGAGGTTTGGCAACCTGTGCCTAGATTTCAGAAGATATATGGAAACACCTGGATGCCCTGGCAAAAGTTTGCTACAGGGGTGGGGCCCTCATGGGGAACCTCTGCCAGGGCAGTGTGGACAGGAATTGTGGGGTCGGAGCCCCCATACAGAGTCTCTATTGGGGCACTGCCTAGTGGGGCTGTGAGAAGAGGGCCACCATCCTCCAGATCCCAGAATGGCAAATTTAATGACAGCTTGTACCATGCACCTGGAAAATCCGCAGACTCTCAATGCCAGCCCGTAAAAGCAGCTGGGAGGGAGGGTGTACCTTGCAAAGCCACAGGGGTAGAGCTTCCCAAGACCATAGGAACTCACCTCTTGCATCAGCGTGACCTGAATGTGAGATCTGGAGTCAAAGGAGATCATTTCGGAGCTTGAAAATTTGACTGCCCACTGGATTTCAGACTTGCATGGGCCCTGTAACTGCTTTGTTTTGGCCAATTTCTCCCATTTGGAACGGCTGTATTTACCCAATACCTGTACCCCCTTTGTACCTAGGAGGTAACTAGCTTTCTTTTGATTTTACAGGCTCATAGGCGGAAAGGACTTGCCTGGTCTTAGATGAGACTTTGGACTGTGGACTTTTAGGTTAATGCTGAAATGAGTTAAGACTTTGGGGGACTGTTGGGAAGGCGTGATTGGTTTTGAAATGTGAGGACGTGAGATTTGGAGGGGCCAGGGGCAGAATGATATGGTTTGGCTCTGTGCCTACCAAAATCTCAACTTGAATTTTATCTCCCATAATTCCCATGTGTTATGAGAGGGACCCAGGGGAAGGTAATTGAATCATGGGGGCCGGTCTTTCCTGTGCTATTCTCGTGATAGTGACTAAGTTTCATGAGATCCGATGGGTTTATCGGGGGTTTCTGCTTTTGCGTCTTCCTCATTCTCTCTTGCCACTGCCATGTAAGAAGTGCTTTTTGCCTTCCACCATGATTTTGAGACCTCCCCAGCCATTCTCGAACTGTAAAGTCCAATTAAACCTCTTTCTCTCCCCAGTCTTGGTTATGTCTTTATTGGCAGTGTGAAAACAGGCTAATATACTGATCTTTGATGTCTTAACCCTTGTACTTTCAGCTGAAGAGAGAGAATTGTGGAGGAGAAGATACCTAAGATTTAGTTAGA